TATATACCAAAAATCAGCAAGTCAGAAAGACTGGCACCTTTGTTTTGAGTGGAATGTCTAGTTTCACTCTCCAGTTAGATTCCCCTAGAGCCTGGCCAGGGCTCAAGGGGGAATCCAAGAGAGTTTCCCTGCTTATCTAATTTATGTCCCTTTTAGAACAAGGCCATATGTCTGGTCCCAGGGCCAGACATCTGGCTCCGTGGCCTTCTTAACTTGCACCTTCACAAAGAAGTATAAAAAATACATTCAGGATAGACACATCAGTAATGACTATATGATATCTAAGCTACATCTTTCATTAATGAGCATACATATTTTGCTAATGACTACATACTAAGTTAGCAGATTTGGCTCAGGGCCTGTTGTTCAGGCTTCAATCTTCAACCCTTTAGCACTTTTTACATCTGCATAGGTGTTTTTTTATTAACCTAGTATGATACCTACTAGCACAATGGTTACCAGTTATAAAATATACAGGATTCATCTATAGGTCAACTCTGGCTTGGACCTGTTGTCCAAGGCTTAGCACTTTATCACAACAAGCTTTTTCCTAAATTGGAAGAAGATTCATCAAAACAGAAGGGATGCAGCCTGCTAGGTGCCGTGTTTATATTTGGCACCTCGCTCTGGCTGGAGGATCCCAGCACTGCAGTGTATCGCAGCGCAGGCTGAGGGTCTGTGAGCCAGGAACATCTGTGTGAACACCACATGTGTCTGTGCAGAACTTGCTGTGTAACCTGCGCCCATTTTGCGCTCTTGCTGCAGATACCCAGTCGGCCCAGGACGCTATGCTGTTGGTGAACGGGTACAATCTGCAGGGGAAGCCCCTGGTGATTGAATTTGGAAAAAGCAAGGGGCATTTGCCAGAGGCTGACTCTGCCATCCCCTGCTCCTCTGCTGGAGGGAATCCCCCTGCCACGTAAAGGATGGATAACCAGGAACCTTGTGGATTTGCCTGGGCCATGGGAACTCTGTGGTTGTAACTGGGATGGTGAAGGGCTGCTGGGAGTTAACATGCAGGCCATAAATCTCAAAATGGGGAAGGGTGAGAGTGGGGACTAGGCTCTTCCTTGAGAGGGATGGGCACTGTCTTCACACTGCTGGGGTGTACTGGCTTTTTCCTCCTGTTCTACGTGTGTGTCTGCCTTTGCAGCCCTTTGTGGCAAGGGGGGAGGAAGCCATGTAAATAAATGTATTTATTGCAGTATTTCCTGAGTGTGTGTTTATTCACCTTTGGTCTGTACAAGTCTTCTAGAGCCAAGTGTGCTGCACTTTGCTGCAGGACTGTGTCAGCAGAGCTCAGTTCTGGCCTCTGTGCCAGGAGCTCGAGTACTGACTGGACTGATATGGGGACTGGTGGGGCTGCTGCCCTGTCTCTGATGGCAGCGGATGTGTTACTTTAGGACAAGAAAAAAGGCCATAGCCCCTTTCCTCCAGACACCTTGGCTCCACAGGTATCTGATTACACAGGTGCTTTATGACTGCAAATGTCTTGGCTCCTCACCATGGATCACCATAAAGCCGTGTGTCAGGGAGGATGGTTGCTCTGGTGGGGCACTGTTGTGGCAGATGTCATGATTTATCTGCTGACCTGTTCTAGCACTTTTTGTGAACAAGGCAAGCATACACTTCCCAGAGTATCCCAGTGCTCCGGGAGAGCAACGTCCAAGCACCTGGTGAGAATGACTGAGGGAACCAGGCTTGCCCAGCGGAGCCAAGCTGCAGGTTTCCTCTGCCGGTTCTACTGAAATACAGGTGTGTCAAACAAAGACATTGGCTCAACAGTAAAGTTTCCTTACTGTTAAGCAGTTATTCTTTATCAACAGTGCTGGTGTCACCCAGGGGATTCTCCACCATAAGGGATCCCAAGAATTAGTAAGGGACATCAGTTTACACACACACAAATCATACATATTCATTAGATTATCTGGAAAGGGGTGTCTTATGATAATGAGTTCCCAGAATTCATTTACATAGTCCCGGCATGCATAGTAAAATAGGATGAGGGTCCTCGGTGGTCGAGGGAAGAAGTAAGCAGTCGTCTTCACAGTGTTCACTAGTTGACCCTCTTTCCAGAGCGTGTGCTGTGCAGTAAAGTCCAGGTGCCTCCCTCCTGAATCAGCAGAATCCTCCTCCCTAAACAGGGTCTCTGTATCTCTTTGTTCAAGCTCCTCCCCCCCCCTTATTTTAGTTTTCCCATTTTGGGAGTTGCCCAAGTGTCCACGGAAGGCCTTGAGTGTGCTACCAGTGATTTATGTCTGGAGCCTAATGAGTGTTTCAATCGTACCTAAACAGACAAAGAGACTCAGGGAAACAGTTGAGGAGTCAGGAGCCCTTGAGAAACAAATGAAGCAAAACACAAGCAAAGCTTTCATACATCACATCACAGTTTAGTCTTAGTAATTGTCAGAAATTCGTTTGAGCCCTTTCATTCTCTTTCACATGTGGAGAAGAGGCATGTTCCCACCAGTCATTGTTTTTCTCCCTGCTGCCATTGTCCCCTCTAGGCTGTGTGATTCCCCTCACACCTGTCCTGGTAAATGCACTTGCAACAACTCACAGTTACACTCATCTGGCCCAGGCTGCACCGCATCTACAAGGAAGTAACTCTGGTTCAGACCAAACTGAAAAACTGAAAGAGAAAAGGGGCTGTGGTGGTGCGTTGCCCCGGTGCTGGGAGGCTCTGCCCTGTCCAAGCTCCAGAGGAGCTGGGGGATGGTTCCAGCCCCCAGAGCTGTGAACAGGCGACACTCTGCCCGCCCTGTCCCAACAGGAGAGGGGGGCTATGGCAGAGGTCGGTCCCCAGGAGAGTCACCCAGGCCCGGCCCTGTCAGCACCCCTATCTCCCTGAAGGTCCGTGCCCTGGGCTGAGGCTGCTGCTAGGCACGTCCCCAGGCTGCCGTTTGCTGGCACAACCCCTGCCAGCCCGGCCTGAGCACTGTGACTGCCGCCAGCTTCTGTTTTCTGCCACCTTCACACACTGAGGGGAGAGGCTGGGGCCTCCCCACGCAGTTCTCCTGGTGCTG